AGAGAGAGAGAGAGGAAGTCACGGTAATCTTTTTTGGCCGTGGATGAAGTAAAAGATAAGATAAGGAGCAATTAATCAAACAAGTTCATTGATATGTTTATTTTGGGCTCACAATTGAAGTAAAGAATCCATGCACTGCCGACCACTGCTGGTATCTCAGTGACCTTTCACCTAACCTGTCCCACCGGATATGCCTCAAACTTCGCCATGTAAGTCGATGTGAAGAACTGTGAGCGATGGGGAAGACGAAACAAGGAACGAACGAGGCGTAGATGGGCATTGGATTTTGATTGAGGAGGTGGTAGCCGAAGTCAAACTATGGGTGAGACTTTGACAGAAGCCAACAAGGTAATGAACTGTTATGTATGATCACTTTCATGCCACTCACTTGTCATGAACTACCTATGCTATCTCTGATTCGAAATGCTAAGTTGATAAGAGATAAAACAAATCATGTTAATTTGGATGTCTGATACATCGGTGATGATGCACTTATCGTCAACGTCGAGTGTTACTCGAACGTGAAGAATCACTTGGACCATCGGATGTCATGGTGTTGATGTCGATGCAATATTCTAACTCTCCACATTTCATTTACCCATATCAACAAGCAAATAAATCCAACTCTTCTTCCGTATCTGACGTGAAACCAAGTTTGGAGGGAGTAGAAGTCGCTTGATAGCAACTATGGGAGAATCCCACTAATAAAGCTTCAAGACGAGAGGAGGAGGACGTGCCAGAGAAGCAAACATGCATTTGCTGAGGTGTCTTCAATTAAAGTCCTCAGTTCACACAGACTTCTTGTGGGGGCCCCGAAAACTACGTGCATTACGGCCTCGGATTTGGACGCTTAGCCATGCAGAGAAGGTCTATAAATACCCTTCGCTACCTCCCTCCATTCACCACTATCTCATCTCTCGGTTCACTACTCGTGCAAGTGTAGCTACCATGGCTGGTAGAACAGCGCGTGTGGAGCTCTGCGCTCTTGCCTTCTGTGCTCTCCTCAGCCTCCAGCTCGCCTTGGCCTCTAGATCCCTGTATGGAACTGGAGCCGGAGGTGGAGGTGGAGGCGGCGGCGGTGGGGGCGGTGGAGGTGGTGGTGACTCTGGATATGGTTCAGGTTACGGCTCCGGATATGGTGAGGGCGGCGGTAGGGGGAGTGCGGGAGGGTATGGTAGAGGAGGAGGAGGTGGAGGCGGCGGTGGCGGGGGAGAAGGAGGAGGTGAAGGCGCTGGCTCCGGTTCCGGGCATGGCTATGGCTCTGGCTCTGGATATGGTGAAGGTGCCGGTGGTGGGAGTGCTGGTGGATACGGTAGAGGAGGCGGCGGAGGTGGCGGCGGGGGAGAAGGGGTTGGTGAAGGCTCGGGATATGGGTCTGGCCATGGCTATGGATCCGGCTACGGCGCTGGTGCTGGTGGCGCTCAGGGTGGAGGTTACGGGAGTGGTGGAGGGGGTGGAGGTGGCGGTGGAGAGGGCTCGGGCTCGGGCTCCGGCTCCGGCGCTGGTTCCGGCTCAGGCTACGGTAGCGGAGGAGGAAACGGTCACTACTAGATTTGATCTCGACGCTGCACTACCGGTAAACAGTAATGTAAGATGCGGATGTGTGTGTGTGTAATACCAAATAAGCTTTCTCGGTGATATAAAGAATGGCTACGTATGTCTTATTGCTTGTTTCCGTAAGTGGAAGCCGTGTCATCAATCTCTTACAGCTACTACTGTGTACGAGTCCTAATAAATGTTGGATGTATAAATTGGCTTTTATTACCTATCCGTTAATGAACATCTCGAACAATGTTCATTTGTCCAAGTAACCCTATAAATAAAGTACAATGAGGGCTCCAATTTATGATAATTATTGTATTTTAATTATCAGAATAAATATTATTCTCTTATACTTAATTACTCAGATGTCCTGACACTAATCAAGTAAAATTATAACTGTCCAATCTATTATTATTATTATTATTATTATTATTATTATTATTATTATTATTCTGCATGTTATTCCTTCCTTGAAGTCATTTCACCTACAAGAAGGAAGTCCCGTTGAAAGACACAGAAAACTAAGGATTTAGCTTGCCCTGTTATCAACTTGTTCCCATCTCGTATCCGAATCTGATCGCATCAATCCATCAATATCGCATCATACGATCAACTTCGAGGTTATTATACAAGAAAACTGGAGTCTTAGTGCTGTTTCACCTAAACTATCCCGCTGGATTTAGCTTGCGCTGCGCTTCCCCAAGTGTCTCGATGAGAAGAACTACAAGCAATCTGGTGGATTAGACAACCTTAAAATAACATGAACAACGCACGCTCCCACCATGACGAAGCAATCCAAAGGAGAGAGAGAGAGAGAGAGGG